GCTTCTCCCAAGTTCTCAAAATCGGAGGGAATATCAACATATATGACACCTTTCCCAACGTTTTTTGCCTCCATTCTAGTCAATGTTGTCTTCCCAGTGCCATGTTCTCCGCAAACGACGTGATAAAATGATTGATGTTCGTTTGGCTGAAAAATTTTCTTAAGGATTTCTGAAATTTGAGGTCGAGGAACAAACTCTTCCAGCACTTTTGACTTGGGCCGAGTACCATTTTTTAAAGCTGAATTGACACGATACTTGCTGATCTTATTCACAGCCAAAGCAAAAAGAAAGTCCGCTAGTATGCCAGCCCCCAGAACTTGCTTCCAGTTGTCCCGTATAAAGTTCCATATATTTTTCCCAGACGGCGGAGTGTCAGGATTTAGTTTTTTTGAGATACCAGTAAACTTCTTTTGCACCTGTTCTTTAAGAGAAGTCGCTAGTTTTTTTTCGGGAGCATTAGAACATACAGCTTCAGTCTTATGTCCAGTCTCGGCATTTTTTATATTTTTAAAATTTTTCGAAGACGACGAATGAAATAAGTAAGGTCTCGAGTTCCTCAACATAAGACCCGGCAACTGAAGGCATCGAACTCTACTAAAGAAGTGAGTTGGCAAAACGGTCCTACGAAAGAGAGTGATTTTTGAAGAAGACATTTGTTGTAAAAATGAGTTAAAACAAAAGAGAGACTGATAAACTATTTATGCATTTCTCCGAACCGCAGTCTAAGTAGTACTTCGGAAAGATCTGTGCGACACACATAAGCCACCTTCAACAAGCAGAGGAAATGAGTTAGGCATTTACGCTTTATTCCTCCCCTGAAACCTGCTTCTCTATCATTTTTACATTCATTTTTACTTAGCCGGCCGAGCTCTTTATCATGTATTACTTTACAAAAATACAATAAAAAAATGTTTGATTTTAAAGTTTATTTTACATTTGCTTTTTTAATCTACTGCGCCCTTTCTTGTACCAAAGGTACTGTAAAAGATATAAACTAACCAGCGTTTTCAAGATGAAGAACGCAATTACAGCCATAAAACAATAATAAATTGTCTAAAATTTGCTAAAACGTTAAAAATGCTATCCTATATTAATGAAAAAATAACCTATTCCTGTTATTCAAGCACTGGCGTAATTGTTATTGATAGTGACATCAATTACGTCCGCACTTTGTGAAAAAGAAGGAAGGGTAGATGTGACTGGCCTAGAGATCTCGGGTATTTCAATGGATAGTATTACTGGTCTTGATATAACAGGAGAATCTTCAAAGGTTTTAGACATTTCCTTGGGTAGTGGTCGAATTGTAGAGCTGAAGGATATGGCAGATGATTTTCTGGCCGGAACATCCTTTGAAGGTAGGAATTGGTTT